CACCATCTGCAGCAGGGCGACAGCAGGTGCCAGGTGTGCCACAGGTGTGATGCCCCCCCCCAAATCCATGCAGCAGGTACAGCAGGTGCCAGGTGTGTCACAGCCTCCATCTCCATGCAGCAGGTGCCCACAGGTGCCCCAGGTGTGCCCCAGGTGTGTCAATAAATGCTCCAGGTGTGAAGTCCCCCCCATCCATGCCGTGTCTCCAGTGTGTCCCAGGTGTGTCCCAGATCTTCCCAGGTATCCCAAGGGTATCCCTGGTGTGTCCCAGATGCCCCAAGTGTTTCCCAGGGGTATCCCAGGTGTTTCCCAGGTGTCTCCCAGGTGTATCCCAGGTGCATCCCAGATTTTCCCAGGTGCTCCAGGTGTGTCCCACATGCATCCCAGGTGTCTCCCTGGTGCCCTGGGTGTGTCCCAGATTTTCCCAGGTACGTCCCAAGTGTCCCCCGTGTCTCCCAGGTGTGTCCCAGGTCTATCCCAGGTGTGTCACAGCTATCCCAGGTGTATCCCAAGTGCATCCCAGGTGTATCCCAGGTGCCCAGGTGTGTCCCAGGTATCCCAAGGGTATCCCAGGTGTATCCCAGGTGTATCTCAGGTGGGTCCCAGCTATCCCAGGTGTATCCCAAGGGTATCCCAGGTGCATCCCCGGTTTTTCCCAGGTGCCCCAGGTGTGTCCCAGTTGTATCCCAGGTGTGTCCCAGGTGTCCCAGGTGCTCCAGGTGTGTCCCAGCTATCCCAGGTGTGTCCCAGGTGTATCCCAGGCATCCCAAGTGTCTCCCAGGTGTCCCCAGGTGTATCCCAGGTGTGTCCCAGCTATCCCCAGTGTATCCCAGTTTTTCCCAGTTGTCTCCCATGTCTCCCAGGTATCCCAGGTGGATCCCAGGTCTATCCCAGATGTGTCCCAGGTGTATCCCAGATCTTCCCAGGTGTATCCCAGATCTTCCCAGGTGTGTCCCAGGTCTATCCCAGGTGTGTCCCAGGTGTATCCCAGGTGTATCCCAGATCTTCCCAGGTGTGTCCCAGGTCTATCCCAGGTGTGTCACAGCTATCCCAGGTGTATCCCAAGTGCATCCCAGATGCCCCAAGTGTTTCCCAGGTGTATCCCAGGTGCATCCCAGATTTTCCCAGGTGCTCCAGGTGTGTCCCACATGCATCCCAGGTGTCTCCCTGGTGCCCTGGGTGTGTCCCAGATTTTCCCAGGTACGTCCCAAGTGTCCCCCGTGTCTCCCAGGTGTCCCAGGTGTGTCCCAGGTGTTTCCCAACTATCCCAGGTGTATCCCAGGTGTGTCCCACATATCCCAAGTGGATCCCCAGTGTATCCCAGTTTTTCCCAAGCGTCCCCAGGTGTGTCCCAGTTGTCCCCCGTGTCTCCCAGGTATCCCAGGTGTGTCCCAGGTGTGTCCTAGGTGTATCCCAAATGTATCCCAGTTTTTCCCAGGTGTCTCAGGTGTTTCCCAGGTGTCCCAAGTCTATCCCAGGTGACTCCCAGGTGTCTCCCAGGTGTATCCCAGGGGGATCCCAAATGTATCCCAGTTTTTCCCAGGTGTCCCAGGTCTATCCCAGGTATCCCAGGCGTCCCCAGGTGTGTCCCAGGTGCTCCAGGTGTGCCCCAGCTATCCCAGGTGTGTCCCAGGTGCGTCCCCTAAACCCCCCCAACCCTCCCAGAAACTCCCCCCAAAATCGCCCCCAGACCCTTTGAAACCTCCCCAACCCCCCAAAGCCCCCAAAATCCCCTCAAATCTCCCATAAAATGCCCCTAAATCCTCCCAAAGCCTCCCAAAACCCCCACAAAACACCCCCAAATCCCCCAAACCCTCTAACCCCCCCAAAAACCCTTCAACCCCCCAAAACTGCTCCAAATCCCCCAAATCCCCCAACCCTCCAAAACCCCCAAAAATCAGGTGTGTCCCCAAATTCCTCCAAACCCCCCAAACCCACTCCAAACCCCCAAAATTCAGGTGTCGCCTAAACCCCCCAAAAAAAAATCAGGTGTCTCCCTCCTCAAACTCCTCCAAATCCCCCAAAACCCCTTAACCCCCCAAACCCCCTAAACCCTTCAAAACCCCCCAAAATCAGGTGTGTTCCCCCAAATTCCTCCAAATCTCCCCAAAACCTCCCAACCCCCCTAAAATCCCTCCAAAACCCCCAAAATTCAGGTGTACCCTCCAAAAATCAGGTGCCCCCCAAAATTCCTCCAAATCCCCCAAAACCTCCCCAAACTCCCTAAACCCCTCCAAAACATCCCAAACTCCTCCAAATCCCCCCAAACCCCTCCAAAAACCCCCAAAATTAGTGTGTCCCTCCAAAACTCCTCCAAATCCCCAAAACCCTTCAAAATCGAGCCTTAAAATCCCCAAGCCTCCCCAAAACACCTCCAAAATCAGGTGTGTCACCCCAAACTCCTCCAAATCCCCCCCAAAACCTCCAAAACTCAGGTGTCCCCCAAAACCCCCTCCAAAAATCAGGTGTCCCCCAAAAAACACCTCCAACCCCCAAAACCTCCCTCCAAATCCCTTAAAATCGAGCCTTAAAATCCCCAAACTCTTCAAAATCGTGCCCCAATTTAAATCCCCCCAAAATTCAAACGTCCCCCTCAAAATTCAGGTGTCCTCCCAAAAATCAGGTGTCCCCCAATTCCTCCAAATCCCCCCAAAACCCTCTTAACCCCTCCCAAACCCTCCCTAAACCCTCCAAAAACCCCTAAAATTCAGGTGTCCCACCCAACCCCCAAAATCAGGTGTCCCCCAAGAAAATTGTCTGCCTCCAAAACCCTCCAAACCTCCAAACCTCCCCTAAACCCTCCAATCTCTTAAAATCGAGCCTTCAAAATCCTCCAAACTCCCTCCAAAACTCCCCAAATTCAGGTGTCCCCACAAAATCCCTCCAAAATTCAGGTGTCCCCCAATTCCTCCAAATCCCCCAAAACCCCAAAATAAAACTAAAAATAAAACCAAACCTCCAGAAGCCCCCTCACCTGTACCTGCCGCCCCCGCGAAGGCTCCTCGTGTCCCACGCGTGTCCCCCAGGGCAGCAGCGGGGGGGCAGCCCCTCCCCTCCTCCTCCTCCTCCTCCCCGCGTGGGCGTGGGGGGTCTCGTCCCACAGGTCCTGCCGCGCGCGAGCCCCCCGCGCCCCCCGCGCCGCCGCTCCGACCCCCGCGCCGTCGGGGACCCCCACGCCCCGAAGATCGCGGGTGGGGCCCGTCGGGGCTCGGGGGTGGTCGCTGCTGCTCCTCGAGTCCACCTCCTCGATGCCCGAGTCCGTCACGGCCTCCGCGCCCTCCCCGCGCGACGCGGGGCTCCCCGCGACCCCCACCCCCCACGCCCACCCCCACCCCCGCGCCCCCGGTGGCGGCGGAGCCCCGGGCCACGCCCTGCGTGAGCGTGGCCACCTCGCTGTCGTACGAGGTGAGGCTCGAGGCCGCCGAGTCCCCCAGCTGCGAGGGGGCGCGGGGGAGGAGTGCTGGCCCGGGGACCCCCGCCACGCCACCCCAGCCGCGACCCCAGGTCGGGCCCCTCGAAGCTGTTGGCGAACTCGAGGGGCGGGGGAGGGCTCGGCCAGCAGCAGCTCCTCGTCCCCGTCCACGGAGGGCGCGGGAGGCAGGGCCAGCAGGGCCCCCGGCCCCACCCGCGACCGAGACCCCCGCCGTGAGGTCGGCGAAGCGCACGCGCCCCCGCCCATGGCGACCCCCGCGCCGAGGTCGTGCAGGGGTCCCCACGCCTCGCAGGGGACGGGGGCGGCTCGAGCGGCGGGGCTGCCCGGGGGGACCCTTCGGGACAGGGGGCGCCCTTGAGAGGTGCAGGGACCTCCCGACCCCCGAGCCCAGCCGAGACCCCCACGGGGACACCCCACGGGGACACCCCCACAGGGGACACCCCGGCCAGGCTGAGGGGCGCGACGGGTGCAGGGCCGGGGGCAGAGCCCCGTGGAGCCCCCGGGCCCAGCGCGAAGGGGCGGGGGCGCGGCAGGGAGGACGCGGCACCCACCCGTGGGGGCCAGGGGCTCCCAGTGGGGAGGGGCGCGGCCTGGGCTCAGGCTGGGGTGGACGGGGCTCATACTGGGATGGACGGGGCTCATACTGGGATGCACCGGGCTCATACTGGGTGGATGGGCCCATACTGGGATGCACGGCTCATCTGGGCGGCCTGCGCCCCTAGCGAGGCTCCCCGCGTGGGGCAGCCCCAGCGTGGGGTGCAGGGTCGCCCCCGTGCAGGGGCCTGGGGAGGGGGGGGCGCCGCCACCCCCCCCACGCTGCTGAAGGCGCTGCCCACGCCCATCCCCCGGCCCCGCCCTTGGGACCCCGATAGCCCTGCGTGGAGGCGGAAAGCCTCGCCCACCCCCACGCCCCCACGCCCCCACGCCGGCCACGAACATCCCCTCGTCGATGCTCTTGGGTGGCGCAGCCGCGGCGCGGGGCGCCCTCCACCCGCGACCCCCGCGGGGGTCTCGTCATCCTCCTCCGTGCTGAGGAAGAGCGCGGAGCGGCGCCCCGCCCACGCCCCCGCCCCCACTCCTGCGCGCCGCCCCACGAGCGCGGCCCCGAACTGCGACGTGAAATCCAGCGCGGGGGGCGGCGCGAGGCTCCCTCGGGGGCGGCGGGGACCCCCACGCCCGACACGCCCACCCCCACGGCCGAGACCCCCACCCCCTCGGCCTCCACGCTGCTGCCGCGCGAGGAGCGCCCCGAGCTGCTCGTCGAGGGCGCCTTCACCACGATCGTGGGGATCGCGATAGAGCTCTTGTCCGCCCCTCCCCGAGGCCACGCCCCCGCCGCGCCCCTCCCACGCCCCCGTGACCGCCCCTCCTCCACCTTGGTCTGCTTGACCAGGGGGCCTTTGCGCCGCAGGGGTTTGGGGACCCCCGACCCCTCCGACCCATCCCCTCCGCCCCTCCCCGCGACCCCCAGGTTGTAAAGGCGCCACGGGGCCCCGCGCGGCGTGGGAGCCCCAGGGGGCGTGGGGGGTGGTGTAGGGGGCTCGGGGGCTCGTGAGTGGGCGGGGGATCTCGTCAGACCCCGGCACTGGAGAGGCTGCGGCTGAATTTGCCCGCGGGGGGCCAGGTAGGGCTTGTCCTCCTCAGGGGCGCCTGGGGGGAAAAAGAGGGTCAGGGGGTTCAGGACCCCAGAACCCCAAAAGGGACCCCGGGATTGGGGACCCAAAAACGCCCCCTTTTATTTGGGGGAAGGAACGACCCCAAAACACACCCCTAGAGGTACAGGACGGGGGGTCAAGGGGCCAAAATCCACCCCTATAGGGATGAGGAGGGGGTCGGGGGTCCAGCACCCCAGAACCCAAAGGGACCCCGGGAATGGGGACCCCAAAAACGCCCCCTTTTATTTGGGGGAAAAAGGAATGACCCCAAAATACACCCCATAGGGTCGCGAGGGGGGTCGGGGGTCCCAGCACCCCAGACTCATTAAAGGGACCCCGGGATTGGGGGACCCCAAAAAACGCCCCCTTTATATGGGTGGGAAAAGAAAAATGGGAGGGCTCCATAAAATCACCCCTATGGGTGGAGGGGGTCAGGGGTCCTGGCACCCTCAGAACCCCAAAAGGCACTCCTGAGATTGGGGGACCCCAAAAGAGACCCCTCAGAACCCCCTCCCCCAAAAACCTCTGTGTCCCCGGGACCCTCAAACCCTCCAGGACCCCCAAACCCTCCAGGACCCCCAAACTCTCCCAGGACCCCCAAACCCCTCCAGGAACCTCCCAACCCCCCAAACCCCCAAACCCTCCAGGACCCCCCAAACCTCCCAGGACCCCCCCAAACCCCTCCAGGAACCTCCCAAACCCCCCAAACCCCCCAAACCCCCTCCAGGACCCCCAAGCCCTCCAGGACCCCCAAACCCCAGGGCTCCCCAGACCCCCCTGGGACCCCCAATCCCCCAGGACCCCCAAACCCTCCAGGATCCCCCAAGCCCCCCAGGGCCCCCAAAGCCCCAGGGACCCCCAACCCTCCCCAAGGGCCCCCAAACCCATCCAGGACCCCCCCAAACCCCTCCAGGACCCCCAACCCCCCCAGCCCCCCCCCAAGGACCCCCAAACTCCC